CTAGTATTGGTCCAAATCATATATTTATTTTAAGAAATTCATTTAATATGTATATATTATTAGTTTAGAATTCAGTATGTTAAAAGTGCTAGAATTTTAAACCTATAAACTTTAATTTTGGCTCCGCCTCTGATAGTGCCATCACACTTATCTTCTAGTCGAACTACAAGCATATATACATTCGACTAAGCTAGCACTCACAAAGGTGTAGTGTTACTAAGCATAGGGGCGCAGGCACCTTGCTTGAAGTGGTGTCATGTGACACCGCTTCGTCAATTTTTTTTTCATAATCTGTATGTATAAATAATAAATAAATTTAAAATATTGGGTATAAATATAAAAAATAACACCGATTACCGTTACAGTAATTTATTCATTTGTTCACTTTTTTCAAATGTTAGATTTAAATGAGATAACTGATTATTACGGTCTATATCATTTTTTTCGCTTAATGGTCATCGTAATCTTTATTCATCATCATCAGCACAATAATTAGACAAGAAAGAATTTTGCAATAGACATGATTTTCGTTTATTAGGCGAAGATTTACCTTAATCAACACTGTAGCTGTTTAAGAAAACACAAACGACACTTGTCTTTATCTCATTGGATAATCGAAGTATTAATCAATTTGCTTTACGTAATTTTTTTTTCTATTTATGTATCTGAAGATAATGTGTTATAGCAGCAAAATCTTATGGAATATGAGTGATTTATCTTTATGGTTTTGCGAGTCAAAATAATTCAACATAGTATACTTGAACGCAAAAATCAAGATTCGTAGCCATTAAGTGTCAATTCTGTACTGTATACTACAATATTTGGTAATTAGTCAGTCCTTTTTGTATGTCATGCATATGTTAATCATAAAGTAATGCTATGTTTACCAGTCACAAGTTAGGAATGAGCATTATCGAACAATTAAAATTAAAGTAAGAATAGTTTTAAACAATACTAATTGACATCCTCATTTTATTAGCGGATTGCGCCAATATAGATATATATAGTGTTAAGTATTATAACAATTACGTCTCAGTCTCCAACAAATAATTAATGAATCGGCAGATTCATGTTATTATTTAGATCCTCTTAACCCTAGAGCAATAAAAATAAGGGTTCAAAATTTTGAGTGAGTTTTTGTGTTAAAGCATAGTGAACATTATTTTTTACCGCCTTTTTTTGAATTCCCTTACACCTTTTATCGGCTACCGAATATAAATAGTTTCTGGCGCGAGCTAAAAGTGATAATACCTCATTTCTGAAGTCATTGATTCTTACAGGCCAAGGCAGTAAACCAATGTGGAATGAGAAGTTTACTTTTAGGGTAGAGTATCCCTCTGCAGATAAGCAGTACAAGCTTATACTTAAGCTCATGGATCATGATTCCTTTTCCTCAGATGATTATCTCGGCCAAGCAACGTAAGTAATTTGTTTTTTTTTTTTCGGTCTAATAACGCACTATATCTTGACTTTAAGTTATATACATTGATAGTGTAATATTTTTTTTGTATTGGTGATGCAATTTAGAGTCTGTTTGGAAAGCCACCAGGTAATTGGAATTGATGTAATTACTAGGGTAATAATTACACAGCCTAGTAATTACACAGTTGTGTAATTACGACGGCCTGTTTGTTTGTCATAGTGTAATTACAGTGTAAGTACAAGTTTACTGTTTGGTTGCACAAGTGTAATCACACAATTAGATTAAATTTTAAATAAAATAATTATCAAAACTTAAAAGTTAATATAATAAATATATGCCAATAAATTTTTATAAGTATAAATTTGGTATTTAAGATTATATTTTTTTCGTGAATATACATTAATTAGTAATCATATATTTATAACTAATATTGTAAAATAATTTATATATATATTTTTCAAATTAATAATCTTTAGTTTAGACACTTACAAAAACTAAAAATATACGTTTTGTAAGAACATCATGGAATTCATGTTTAATAAATTAAATTAATATTTATAAATATAATGTCATAACATTATTCAAATATTATTTGACAAAACTAATCTATCAATTCTAACTAAAAAATGAACAACATGCAATGTGAGTCAATACTACTAAAACAAGTAAATTAGAACCATGAATATAACACAATTTTAAAATTCACAAAAAATAAAAATAGTTTAACATATGACAAATTCCAACATAATAATAGCAAGTTTCACTACAACTTAAGATTAGGAAACATAATAAGTTTATAACCATATTCAACAACGAAATTTCAATTTAGTTGCATCACTCATTATATGCCAGCCTTGTTAATGACTCATTATTTCTAATATTAGGAGGTGTAGCTTCAAAAATCGAATAATAAAGTAAATAAAATATAAAATATAAGCAATTACATAGAATTACAAGAAGTAAAGGTAGAGAAATAAAAGATAAATAATGTACAAAGAAAAATATATTTTAAAATTTTAAAAGAAATTAAAAAGTAAAAAATAAATTTAAAAAATTAAAATAATAGAAATAAAAAGTTATAAAAAATAAACTAAAATAAAAACAAAAAGGAAAGAAACTAAAAAGCAACCTTGTAATTACACAGTGTAATTACCACCAATTCTCACCTCCCCCTTGAGAATTGGAGAGTGTAATTACACCCCTCCAATTACACCCAATTTGTCACGGCCCAATTCCCAAACCCCGACCGTGATGGCGCCTCTCATGAAGACAAGGCCAGCCAGAACAAACGGAAACACCTCTTTTAACAATTTCTTAGCATTAATAGAACCACAACGCGTATAAACAGTTATAAAAGCGAGAACAGCGACAATAGCAAGGGAAACCATCCCGACACAGCCCAAATCGGGGTGTCACAAGTCATGAGCTACTACAGAGTTACTATAAGTCTAAGAAATAGAATATCTGAGACAATAGTCTGAAGGAACTGAAATAACATATAATAGGGGAGTCAAGGGGCTGCGGACGTCAAACAGCTACCTCGAAGCTCCAACTCGCTGCCTGGTCTGGGGAGAATATCAGTGCTCAGGAGCGGACTCTGCTATGCCTGAATCTGCACACATGGTGCAAGGAGTAATGTGAGTACTCCGACCCAGTGAGTAATAGTAATAAATAATAACTGAAGGCATGAAAACACATAAGTGCACAAGACAATGCTATATCATGCACTAAATCACTTTAAGCAGTAAAAAACAGTAAAAAAAAGTCAAATGAAGTCTCATTTTCTTAAAGACAGGTAAATTAGGTAAAACTGTAAATGAATAGTGAATAGTAAAACTGCCCCTCGGGCCCAGTATCAAACGCTCAGTACAGTAACAGCCCCTCGGGCTCAATCTCAGTCACACAACATAGTATCAGCCCCTCGGGCTCACTCTCAAATCACATGGGTATCCGCGCTCACTGTGGGTGTGCAAACTCCGGAGGGGCCCCTTACGGCCTAAACGCTATATCAACATAAGGCCTGAAAGCCTTCTCACATCACACTCGAGGTCTGAAAGCCTCCCCACATATCACTCGAGGCCTGAAAGCCTCCTCACTCGAGGCCTGAAAGCCTCCTCACATATCACTCGAGGCCTGAAAGCCTCCTCACATCACGCTCAAGGCCTAAAAGCCTCACTCAGTCCAGAAAACATCATAAGCCCCTCAAGCATCAATAAAATAGTAGTGCTCAGCCCAAACAATGGTGGAAATATCATTTAAGTATCAAAGTTCAATTAAAGCAGCTGAGTTTGTAAAACAGCACAATCAACAGGACTGAGTTCAAGTAGTATATCAAAATAGTGAGGAAACAGTGATAAAAATCCACGAAGGATCCAAGTAGTCGGCATGAAGCCCAAAATGTGGCAATAGGCCCAAATCATGTTGGTAACAAATACATTTCAGTCAAATACGCGGTAAAAATATTAATCGGGACGGACCAAATCACAATCCCCAGTAGTAGACAACCCCGCGCTCGCCATTAAGCGCGTGTTTCACCTCAATACAACACTACGTTGTGCAAATCCGGGGTTTCAAACCCTCAGGATATCATTTACTATCATTACTCACCTCAAGCCGGCCAAAATCCTAGCTCGCTATGTCCTTGCCTCGCGAATCGACCTCCTCGCGCGTCGAATCTGATCAAAACCACAAAGAATACGTTACAATAGGCTAAGGCAACATAACCCAATCGAAAAGAATTGAAAAACATCGAAAATCACTAAATTTGCAAAACCCGAGCCTCGGGCTCACTTCTCGAAAATCAGAAAATTTAACATCATCGGATTCCTTATCTTGCCACGAGTCTATACATACCAAGAACTCCCAAATCCGAGTTCAAATGACCCATCAAAACCCATTTTAAAATACCAAAAATCAAGCCCTAACTTTTCTCCCTTTTTGATGAATTTCCATAAATTTCTAGGTTAATTCTTCCATTAAATCATGTATTTAGGCCGTAGAACTCACCTCCAATCAATCCCAGTCGAAATCCCCTTCAATTCTCGTCCAAAAGCTCTCAAGGTTGCTCAAAAATGGTGGAAAAATACCTTAGCTCGCGGATGAAATATTAATTTTTAAACCCTTCTGCCCAGACCTTATTTTCGCTTCTGCGATCCAATTACCGCATATGCGGTCACCGCTTCTGCGGAAATCTCTATTACGCCCAGGACCGCTTTTGTGGTCTAATCTCGCTTCTGCGGTCACCGCATCCGCGCACTCATACCCGCTTCTGCGGAACACCCTACACGAACACGGACCGCTTCTGCGGTCAATAACCGCATCTGCGGAGACCGCACCTGCGGAAGCCATCCGCTTCTGCGGAATTTCTCCAAATAGCCAACACTCGCGCCTGCGACCCATTCTTCGCATCTGCGGAACCGCATCTGCGGCCCCTTTTCTGCAGATGCGGAAATACCAGGTATCAGCAAACACAAGCAATCTCACAAGTCCAAAATCCATCCCGATGACCATCCGAAATCACCCCGAGGCCCCCGGGACCTCAACCAAAAGTGTCAACCCATCCTAAAACATCATTCAAACTTGCTCCAATCATCAAAGCACCACGAACAACACCGAAACCATCAAATTACATCGGATTCAAGCCTAAGTTCTTCTAAAACTTCCGAAATACGCATTCGATCAAAAACCCGACCAAAACACCTCCGAATGACCTGAAATTTTGCGCACACATCCCAAATTACCTAACGAAGCTACAGCAACTCTCGAAATTCCATTCCGACCCTCGGATCAAAATCTCACCTAACAACCGGAATTCGCCAAAATACTAACTTCGCCAATTCAAGCCTAATTCTACACCGGACCTCCAAAATCACTTCCGATCACGCTCCTAAGTCACAAATCATCCCCGAAGCTAACCGAATCACCGAAATCACATCCGAGCCCTCTAACTCATGAGTCAACATCCGGTTGACTTTTCCAATTCAAACCTTCCTTACAGAGACTAAGTGTCTCATTTCCTTCTAAAACCAATCCAAATCGACTCATTCACCCAAGACTCCTATAATGAAACATAAGGATGCAGAAAAAAAATTGGGGAAACGGGGCGGTAGCTCACGTGACGACGGGCCGGGTCGTCACACAATTCCATGCTGACCAAGTAATTACTTGGCCAAACAAACATGCCAAACTGTGTAATTACATCTAATTACACCCAAATCCATTTCCAAGGTGGCTTCCAAACATGCTCTTAATATGTTTTTCTTATTACTATATTAGACTGATATGAAGATCATTACACGTTGTATATCAACTTAACTAGATACTATAAAAATTATTTACATTATCAGGACAAACAAAACTCTGACTCTGACTGTATACCATGTAGCAATTTTTGTATTTATAAAAATTTAATAAAATGTGTGCATACTAAGTAAACCATATGTATAAAGCATTATTACCAGTAGTTAGACTTGTTCTTACTAAGTAATTATTTGTAAAAGCTGGATTTCATTCAATGAATTATGTGTACATGTAGTATTTATTTGAAGGAATTAATTGAATTGGGAGTGGAGAAAGGAAGAGCTGAAATTCATCCTCGAAAATATAGTGTGGTTGGCAGTAATGAATGTTACTGTGGGGAGATTCAAGTTGGCATCACTTTTACCCCTAAGGTATTATTTTTAACCTTCAGTTCATTTTTCTAGCCAAACTTTACAAATCTTGCAAAATTTTCTTGAGAAATTTAATTTTAAAGGAAAAAGGGAAAAAGTGGGATCCGGACAAAATCAATGAAATGAAAGAAATTCGGACGGAACGAAAGGATTAAATATGTAGGATAAATTTCACTCTTACCTTGCAGAGACACAATCAACTTAGGGCCTGTTTGGCCATAAGAAATTTTTACTTTTTTTTTTCTCTCGAATTTTTTTTAATATTTTTTTAGAAAGTGTTGTCCATGAAAAATTTTAAATTTCACTTGAAGTTGAATTTCTAATTTTTTTGAAAATTTGAAAAACTCCAAAAAGCTATTTTTCAAAATTTTCACTTCAAATCACCAACGAAAATTCAAAAACAACTCCAAAAATTGTATTCATGTTAAAAAACAACTCCAAATTGTATTCATTTTCAAACACAACTCGAATTTTAAATACTATGTCCAAACGCCTACTTAAACAAGTATAGCTTGGCCCGATTCCAGGGGTGGTCCATTTTGGCTATGTCTTTGACCTGTTTTAGAAGGTTATAAGCAGCTATGTTGTTTAGATTCTCCAAAAATATTATTATATTTATGTTGAATCCTCCATAAATGCACTACTTCTAGAGAATATTCCAACGTGGTACCCGACGATATTTTTGAAGAGTCCGAGCAATATAGATAACCAGCACATCGCACTGCAGATTGTCTTTCTTAGATGCTCATCTAAAATGTTAAATGATGCTTCCTTTTTATTTTACTCGCGATGGAATGCGAATGAAATTACTGATGATATGTTAAATAATTTGACAGAAGACAGCTGCAGAAGAAGAATATGGTGGATGGAAGGAGAGTGCATGACTGCTGACTAGCTATATATTGTTCCTATATGTATTTGCCTGATTTTGTACACTTTGCTGTTTTAGCGTAAAGATGAAGATCCTCACAACTTTTTTCTTATATTTATGCTATGTTGAAGTGATTGTTTGTTGTACTTAACAAAGCAATTGTGGTTATCTTAAGCGTAAGAAAAGCTCGTTATAGTGCACCATATGTAAATGTTAGAGAAGAACATAATAATGAAAAAGTAGTTAAACCAAATGAATACTCCGGAAAAAAAAATCCTCAAAATTTTTAGCAAAATGCCACCTTCTTCGTCGGCATGGCCCAATCCCGAGCGATCTAGCCATTAGCAGGGATGCTATTTAGAGATTAGCCAGTCCTCATTTTGTTTCCTGAATATAATATAAATCTTAACTTCAGAACATTTTTGTCCTGAAAATTTGAATTGAAAAACTAAAATTCAGGATACACAGGGTTATTCCTAAATAGTAGCCCTTTAGAGCGACTGTGCAGTGTAATTTTGCCTCAGAACAATGTGTCAACAAATGTAATGGATTCGGACCAGCCCATTTTCCAAAGGGAAATTACCAGCTATGTCCATTTATAAGTAGCTCATTACAAAAATTGGCCAATTGATAAAATATTACTAATATTAGCCAAATTAGCCAATTAGCTATTTGTAGCAAAAAATATCAAATTTTTGCTTTGTTTTAAGTGGGTGTTATTAGAATAGATTGGGCACAACTTAAGGAGCTTGAATCTCAGTTTTGGGATGATTTGGTGAAGTTTTGAGGTGGTTTGAATTGTAAACTCGAAGTAAAAGCTGAACATGAAAAAAAATGATATGTGTATCACACTGTGTATCATTTGTGTATCACATATGTATCATATTTGTATCAATTGTGTATCACATGTATATCCATGTATACCTCTGTGTGTGATACATGCGTGATACATGTTTGATACGTGTGTCGCAGAAGACTTTTTTGAACTCGATTTAATTATGAATTTTGATACAAAACCAGTCCAAATCACCTCCAATCTTCCTCAAAATTTGTATATTGACTTTTCTATATATTTTCAATGAATTTCAACTATACCCATTGAAAAAGTTCCCTTTTTTGTTTAGATTTTTGGAATATTGTATAGATTTTTGTATTTCATCACCTTATTTGCTATCCCGTCCATGAAATTTCCTTTCCGTCTTGTATCTAATGTTGCTAATCACGCTTAAAAATATGAAAGGTGATTTTTGCATGTGTTTCTTTGAGAGAAAGAACCCTATTATTTGGTTTTTCAATTTTTGTTGGCTAGTTTTGGTAAGTCTATGACTAATGGCTAGAGGTTGGTAAGTTGAGATTTATTTGGGACATTTGTGCAAGTTTCCCTTTTCCAAATTCACTTACGCCAAGTTTGGAGAAGAATACTCCTACACCCCACTTCACGAAATCTAATTTGGTTTACGAAAAATCTTAAGTAGTGTAGTTGGTTGGTTGCTGAGTTTTTATTTTGTTGGTAAGGATTCGATCGTCCACGCTCCCCTTTCCTCTCCCAAAAAATTAGTTCAAAGAAATACCTAAGAAAAATAAAAAAATGCAAGTGAAAGAAGATACACGAAAATATGGTTATTTTTCTTCTATTCTTTTTTCATTCAATTGAAGATAGCCGTAGAGAGACACAATGGGAGTGGATATTATTGAGAAAATTGCCTCCACGAAACACGAAGTGGATTCCCTACCCCCCCCCCCCCCCCCCCCTAAAAAAAAAAAATTACATAGAAAAATGTTATAATCATAAAGTAAAATCTTATAATCATATAGTTGACGAAAATTAAATTCTAACTTGACTGAATAGACTTTGTGAATTTTCAGTATTAATTTGGGGAAAATCAACTCTATACGTACTAAATCAATTAAAATTTCATTTTTGACATATAACATCCAAGATGACTATCATATTAGAAAGATAGGAGCATTTACAAATCACTATAGCGATTTCCCAAACAAAAATTTATAATAATGTTAAATTAAATGCCCACATGACATCTATATACCATTTATGTAGCGTAATATAGTTTAAAGAATCATTAAACAAAGTATACTTTATATATAATAAAATAAATATTATTTCTCAATTCCAAACAAAATTGAAATTAACTATTGAATCTTCACGGATCATGTTTCTTTAATTAAAATTTATCTCAAACCACCATTATTCAAAATACTAGAATGTTATTTATAACTTAATCGTTTTTTAAATTTTTCACTTGGTGTCTAGTACTTGCATTGTTTCCCTAATTAATTTTGATGCGTCCCACGTAAGGTTTATTATAGGTAAAACTGCGTCCTTACCAGAAAATTTTCATTATCAAGATTTAAATTCAGAACCTCTAATTAAGGATAAAGAGATTCTATCCATTTTACCACAACTTTAGTGCACCTTTATAACTTGGTAAATCATACTTTGGGAGGTAAATTGAACTTTCTCTTGTGGTCTGGCCACAAATTCAACAAAATTGGCATTCAACATTTTAAGGCCCGTTTGTCTATAATTTTTTTTTCTTTTTTTTTCAAGATTTTTTTTAAAATGTGTTTGTCCTTGAAATTTTAAAAGTTTTTTAAAAAAAAATATTTCACTCAAAAAAGTAAAATATTTTTCAAGTGGAATACAATTTCAAATATAATTTCAAATACCAGATTTTTCAAAAATTATAATTTTTATGCCGAAGCGCCTACTGAGTTAATGATATTTTGTACTATACGAATATACATACCTTCATCGTGTCAGGAGTACTTTAGATTGGCTATTGCTTTCCTATTATCCTTTGTCTTAAGTATAGTGATGGGACCAACTAGTAGACTTTTATGTCTAAATTTAATGGTTAGATAAACTTTTTAAAAATTTGTTGAGCTTAGTTGGTCCCACTCAACAAAAACTTTTTTATTTCAGCCCTCTAGAAAGAGTCTTAAAAATAAAAATTAAGGCTGTATTCTGGGCCGGGCCCGGGCCTAAACGGCCCAAATAGGCTGGGCCAAACGGTCCCCGGCTTAGGCGGGCCGGTCTTTGGCGGTCCCGGGCTTCACGGTCCCAATGGGTGGAACCGGCCAACGACGGTCCTAAGCCCACATGGTCCCGGGCTAAATGGGTCGGCCCACGGGTCTAAACGGGCCTAACGGGCTTTTTCGTTCCGGGCTATTTTTTTTTAATTTTTTTTTTTATCTAAGGCAATTTCTTGTAAACTATATATGTATATACTAATATAAATTGCTTATACATAGCTATATAAATATATATAGTATATATAATATGTATAGTATGTATATATAATTATATATTAAAGTTTGCATTTAAAAAGTAAATTAACAAAAAAATAGTAAAACTAAATTTTCATGCATATAAATTAATAATACTTCAAATTAATCTAACAAACTAAAACATTAAGCATAAATACGTCTAATAATTTTAAAATAACACATTGTCGAAAAATCATAAATACGAATTTCCGGATGACGCTCAAGACAATACTTTATATGCCTCCTTAAACTGCCTGTGCCAGACCCTGAACGAAAATTTAAGACTTGACCACAGTTCTTGCACTTTAATTTCTGACCTTCTTCATTTTCTTCTAGCACCTCAAAGTGTTGCCAAACAAATGAGCGCACTCTTTCCGAACGAGGCATGATTTAACTTGAGATTTGAGAATTTGAGATTGAGACTTGAAGTCTTGAAAATTGGAGATTGAGAGAATGAGAGAAATTTAGATTGAGAAATGAGCATTGAGTGAAGAAATGAAGAAGAGGGGGGGAGGGGGGTATTTATAGTTTTAGAGAAGGTTAGTTTTGTAAATTGAAAAAGTGTTAAAAAAAATAGGCTATTTGAGC